CTAACAGAGAGGGGAAGCAGGATGAGGGGTGCGAAGTAAAACGAACAAGCGAAGGCTGCCAAAATCTCGTTCGTCAGCACAACCCGAGGTCGAGCAGTGAAATCCCTACCTCTCCTCTTCCTACTCTCACCCCCCACCTCTCTCATTTCCGAATTCCCATCCCTACCTCTCTCTCCCCCTCCCCTCTCTCACCGTCCGTCGCTCCTCCCTCACAGTAACTTCTCTTTCCCCCAGTAAACAGATCTAATTTTATCCGTGATGTGTTCGTGGTACGAATGATCTTTGTCGAGTGTGTGTGTGGAAAGGTAAGTGTGTCTTTTCTTATCCATTACACACATGTATACACACACACACATACACATCTAGAACTGTCTGTGGGTGTTGCAGGCCTGTGTTAAAAGGAAATACAAATTCAGGAAAAAGATGCAGTGTACCGATATTCCTTCTCGTTAAGGTATGTGTGCAATGAATAATGATTTGTTTTTACAGAAGTTTGTGTAAGGAATGCAAGCCTGACCAGGAAACGCCCAATTATGAGCTCACAAGAGTTACTAGATCTAGATTAGATCTAGAGATCTAGATCTAGGTCTAGTCTAGTTAGATCGAGATCAAGATCTAGATCTAGGCTATTGAATAACTCACTAAAAAAAACTGGAAACAACGAATGACTGGAAAAGGCCAGGATAATGATAACGTAATACTGTAGTGTTGGGGTTTTTTTGGGGTTTTTTTTTTTAGAACAAAGGCCTACGAGCTGAAAAACGAGTGGCGAACATAAATGGTCACTGATGTCGGTGGTTTCGGATCTGGCACTCAAAGAAGGCAAAGGTTCCTCTGTGTAAACACTGTGCAGTTTTCTAACATCTAGATATGTAGGCCTACAGATTAGAGGCCCTACCATTAGCCTTTCACAGTAAAACGACCTCACTTAGGAAAGAACAAGTTATTCTATAGACCTCTCTTGTTCTTTTCTTTCACTTCAAAGGTAAAAGAGAACAGTGGACTAGAGAATCGGAAAGTATTTTCAAACAGTAGCCTTTTGTTGTTGCAGATGTGGGCGTTGGCTGTTTGAGTTTGAGCGTGGTTGTTTTGATAAGCTGTCCAGGCACGTGGATTAGGCAAAGATTATCCCATTTTTCACGACCCAGCAGCCACCATAAAACAAATGGTAGCGGACTGGAGATTGTGTACTAATGCAGTTGAACACAAGAGCAAATTTAAAAGAAAAAAAAAAGATTCCCGAACATAAAGCACATCAACACAGTCTGTTATCGTTATTTGTCATTAATAGTAATAGGCCTATTAGATTCTAGATATCTCCATCTGATTTGAAAGAACACACGGCTGAGATTAAAATACATTTGTGGTTATTGGTTATGATTGATAGATCAAGGTGTTGATTTTGTTAAGGTATGTGTAAGGCGGTACCATTGATCTTTTCAGAACCCCATGCTGATAAAAGACATAACACTGTCTGTCTGTCTGTCTGTCTGTCTGTTTGTCTGTCTGTCTGTCTGTCTGTCTGCCTCTCTTACTGTCTCTCTCTCTTTCTCTCTCTCTCTCTCTCTCTCTCT